ATAGCTTGCAAGCCTAGCCAGGCATGCTTCTGATGCTGCCAAGGATCTATATGTGCTGCTCCGTCTTGAGCAAAACCGATCTCGAACACGGACATGTAGTTATCTCCAATGGTTGATGTACCTAAGTTGTTCAGCCACAACAGTGTTCACTCAATCACTCATGTGTCTGGATCATTGAACACCTGGAACGAATCAGAATGATTGTAATCATCAACTTGTTGTTGTTTTTTTTGGCCCAAAGGGTCTGGGACTTGGGGGTTTGATTGAGGAGCCTTGAAGCAGGCTCTTTGATTTCCATGGATGCATTAAATGCCATGGTCGCGACTTCAGGGCCTCATGATATGCCTGATCTCAAAGACATCACTCATGTGAAGTGTTCGGTGAGGAAGTGTGCTTTGAAGGTGGTTCGCAATCCATGCAGGTCAGGTACTGAGTGTTTCTTGCATAACAAATACCCTCTGTTGATTGACTGCTGGAGTTTTGAATTAACATGAATTAGCGGCGCAGCATAAGACAAGGTAACATGTGGGTTCGTACTCACACCAAGGCGCCTACACTTCTGTTGTGGTCATACGGTATCGAAGGACGGCATGTACCAGCAAGCATCAAAGGCCAAGAACCCTGAACTGCTTGCCACGTTACAAGATCTCGAAGCCAATGACCCAGACCAGTTCCTGGAGCATTTGGAGAACTTCAGTGAAGAGTGCCCTGTTCATGAGTTCAGAAAGAGTGTCAATTACTAGTGACACAAACATCTAATATATTCAATAGGGCTGGCCAAGCAGTATCCAGTAGTTGCTATTTTGACAATTTGATGTGCAACTCAGGTGTCCAAACCCAGGGCGTGGCCGACAACGTAAATCTTGGGACTTTGGTCGGGTGCTCAAGGCCAAGACATCTGGTCACAAGAACTCCAACACCGCCACCAAGAAGCCCTTCACATTAGAAGACTATATACTATGGCATGAAACAAAGGCCCCAACCTGGAGGAGAGACTTGTTCTAGATTATATTCATCATACAATACAATAATACAACGGTACTTTTATGACGGTTATGATTATGATGATGATAGTATGTTTTTAACAATCCGTCACTGTGACTGTTATGTTGACACACGGCAAGACAAGATGATAGTAACACATATTTCACAGACTGTGCACTGCCACTACACTGAACATTGTTTACATGAACTCAGGACTGAATCGGAAAGCTGCCACACAGGAATGGCAGCGGTTGTTTAGCAATCCTTCTAGTCGCAAAGATCAAGTGGATGCAAATGACAAGGATGGAGTCCCTTTGGGTAAGGCCGGACCGGGCAGATCTTTTGATCGTTAGATTGTACGATGAGGACAGCATAGGGGTCAAATCTGATCTCAAGTTAGTTGAAGACATATCATATCCAAAACAAATTATTAGTCATAGTCATAGTCGAGTTAGTTATCAATAGTGTGACAGTATGACTGTGTGTTTCTCAAAGTTGACTGGTGTTTGGTGTTGCAGTGCTTGTTGTTTGTGTTTGTTGTTTATGGTATTGATAAGTGATGATTAGCGATGATGGCCCAATGATTTTTGGTGTGGAGGTATGGCGGCTGTGGATCAGTGTTGAAGAAGCTGAAGTGAGCTCTACCTATCAGGACTGGGTTCCTGACAGTTGCACACCCCACCCACCCCAACTTAACAATTGACAATGACAACAACTTCTCAGGCCCATATTGTTTTTTGTTTTTGACAACTATGTATTATGTTCAATGTTTATGTATAGTATAGTATAGTATATATATATATTTATTTTACCTCCTGACTCCTGACAAGTTGACACAGGATCAACGAGTGGAAGTTCAACAAGTTGACGAAAGCACAAAACCTTCCGACAGAGTGTTGACGCACCACAGAGCGATTGCTGCAGCGGCATGGAGTGAGTTTGATGATGCTGAAGAACAGCCCTTGATTCCCTTTGAGGCCATACACACACGGGGAGATGTGGTCGGTGTGGTGGGAAATTCGAACACCAGTGGCAGTGGTGGTGGACCGAAAAGAGAAAGAATACCAGGGGCAGGGCCAGCGCCAAGGACTAAGGCGACTGTAGCTCCCAATGTTGAAGCTGCAAAGCAGCGTGCAAAAACCACTGGTGAATGGAAGAAGGTGGAAGCTCTTGTCACGAGAGCCATGTCCATTGGCGAGCAAGTTCTGAATGTAGATGCTATGAAAGTTCATGGTACACAAGAACTGGTTGACCAGGATTGCACTCTGTTTCTTCTGAAGGACAGAATGCAGCTGATCAAGTTGGCTGCCAATAGGGAGGTGGGACAAGGGTGCAAGGAGAAAAACAAGGAGTTGTTCAACAAATGCCTTCAGGACCCCTACTTGAGGGACCTGACCACGACGTTGCTTTCCACAGAGGAGGGTTGCCACACAGTTGGATCGATCACACGACTTCGAGATGTACTCTTAGACCTCCAACCAAATGTGGTGATGATCAACCAATTGATGGACAATCATAGAAATGGAATGGCTTTGCTACGGTCAATCTCGTCTTGTGTGACGACTGAATGTGACAACTGGAAGAGCAATGTACAGGCCCTAGTCAAAGCTCGTGCCGACGAAAAGAAAGCACTGGAGAAAGCACAAGAAAAGGAGCGCAAAGCACAAGAAGCTCTGCAGAAGAGACAAGCAGCTGCTGAAAAAAGAAAAGTAGAGGCTGCAGCAAAGAAGGCTGCAGCAGCAGCAAAGAAAGCACAAGAACAACAACAAGGTGCAATTGAAGATCAACCAGAGCCTCCTAGTGAGCCGGGTAAAACCCGCCGGGCCCGAGTCAGTCGGCAACATGAACTATCCGAGTCAGATCCACCAATCCTTCACCAGTTGAGGTCATCGTCCTTGGTGACCAAAACGACACATGTTGAGGACTTGACTGAGTTTGTGAACGCCATCGTGAATGAACCAGACTCACCGGCATTGCTCCGACTCAAAAAAAGCGAGTATGAAGAAGGTCCTCTCAGTGACTTGACTGAGATTATGGACCTGGATCAACAACACCCGTGTTTTGAGTTCTGAGACTCAAAAATCAAGACCGGTTCATCCCCAGACTCCAGAATTAAACTAGTTTTGTTTTCAAAGGGAAACAAAACAAAATACAATAACAGTGACAACAAACAGCACCACTGCAGCCACTGCACCACAAATACATACAGTCAAATATTTGTACTCTGCAAATGGAACTCTGAAATCTGATATGTTTCTTTCTTGAAGAACTATCTATGACTATACTATGCACTAACAAATATGACAACTGCGCGAACTCGGTCTCCCCCCTCTTTGACCTAGGCGATGCCGGGTATGACTTCTACGACGGCAACCTCTGTTGCAAAGGTTTTGCAGACTGATTTTGGGAAGTTCTCGATTGACTCAGCCAGTGCTTTTGACGAGAATCCCAGTGGCCCTAACCGGAAGGTTAAGTACGTACCAGGTCCAGCCATGCAGCTGTGCTGTGACCAGCTGATTCAGCTGAAGATTGAAGAGATGACCAGTTCTGGCAATGATTGCGAGTTTGCACCTGTGGTCATTGAACGTTCTGACATGGATTCAAGGCTCCTTTGTTCAGTTGTTTAGTAAGTTTGGTTTATGGACAACCCGTGGTCATATGACAATGAGTGTTGATGTTAAAGTGGTGAAGGCAATTCTGGTGATGGACAATTATTCATCATCTCATCGAATCATCATAAGTAGAATCATACAGAATCATCCAATCCAACCTGCCTACCTTCGTGTTGATGTTTAATGGTGTTCAGTGCAGTGTTCAGTTCATGTCTTACTTTCAGACTGCTGGCTGACCTGTGTGAGCTCACATTGGTGTGACTGAGGCTCAAGCAAATGGCGGTACGTGACTCCATGCCAGAGAAGGCCCTGGAGATGTTGTCCACAAAGTTCCAGACCCTAACTTGGACAGCTTTTCGCAAGGGTGACGTGTTCATTGGCAATCTACCAGGTGGTCTTGGTTACATGATCTATCAGCAGGAAGGGAATCGATTGATGGCTACTATGGGTTTAGAGCAGGCATGCCGTTGGGTGCGTCCTGACTACAATCTGGAGTCTACTTCAACTGAAGAGTTGGATACCATCATCAAGGACCAGAGCCAGGGTTGTATATCAAATATATTATGTATGTTTAGTATGTTTTGAATAATTGAACCAGACTCAGACCGGACCTAACTCCTGGTACTTCTTATGTGTTGTGTTTGAACCCGAGTCAGCCCGAGTCTTACTGTCAGCTATCACATTAATGATTCATTAAATATAATATATATATATATATATTCATAGACATAGACTCATATACTTGACTCGGATGTTGTTTAGAAGTAACTAAAGTAGCGCACAGTAACACTAACACCGTTGGTTTGGTCAGAACACTGATCAGTAACTACTAACTACTGACTAATTGACCACTTGTTTTGGGCTATGACACTAACAGGAGGCAGCACAATTCTTGCAGAACTTGGACGTTCCCACGATGAGCGGTGAGGGTGTGGGTCAGTCTCTCTCATCTGTGCGGGTGACATATATCAATCCGGGGGATGTGATCTATATCCCGTTCGGGTCATTGCTATGTGAAAAGGCCTTGGGTGGCCATTCCCTGGGTTTGCGGATACCTATGGCATTGCTTTCGCCTACCCAGAGACCAGCTGCAATGTTCCTGGAGAAAAAGTCACCGCTGAACCCTACCACACCGATACCTGGCTGTAGCAGCTTTAAACAATATGTTTTGTATTTTTTTCTGTGCTGAGAGGCCGAGCTGGTGTTTTGTTTTTTTTTTTTGTTTTGTTTTGTTTGTATGGTTTGTATCCACATTGCACCACACAGTGATCATTTATAAGTCTATAACGTATAACTTAGAGTTGTGGGTTAGGAGTTGGGATGCACAGACAGAGTGACACACACTGGACTCCCTTGTAGACTCATGTTCAGTGACTCAGTGACCAATCTCAAATGAATGCTCAGGAAACTCCCTTGTGAGCTGGTTGTGGCCATGATCAACAGTGTCTACAACAGCCAGAACCGTGAGAATATCTTGACAGTGGAGCACCTCAGCGCCCAGGATGCGGATAGCAAAGGTGATGATCAACCTGCATCAGAAAAACCAGTTGATGACCCACCCAACACAGATGCCTTTGACCCCGCGAATCCACCTGACAATTTGAGAGACATCCTCACCAAACTTGAGGACGTTCAATCCTATATCACTTGCTGCAGAGAACATCCATCATTCAAGGATTACTTGGATGTGTTGAGGAATGAAGAAGACCTGATTGAGGGTTGTGAGTGGTCATTTGGTGATGATGACAAGTCTGACCCACTTGAAGATGTGATCCACTTTGTGACGTGGCTGAACCAGAAGTTGCCTGACCAGGGACCAGAGTCAAGTGAGTCAGGTGGTACCAAACGTCCACGGAAAGCAGCTGAATGGGGTCCACCCAAAAAGGAGATAAACTTTGAGTTGGACCCAAAAGACATTCGAACCATGCTGCTTGCCGATTTGCAACAAGATGATCCAGAATATGACCTTCGTGCAGAAGTGGCAAAGATCAAGAACCATCCTTCCTTTCCTGGCTACACCAGCTGGTGTGTAAAGGGCTTGGACTATGAGGAGGACTTTGAATTCGGTGGAGAGCATCAGGAGCTTGAAGATATCGTACATTTCCTCACATGGCTCCAGTCTGCCATTCGACGATTACCAAAACAAGCTCAGCAGCAGAGTCAGCAGATGCATGTGGACCAGATCGCTACACACCAACCTTCTCAGTTGGAGAAGGGCGTAGCCGTTTCAACCGTCGATGGGACACCCCGGCACACTGCAGGACATGACTCTGAACCAATGAAGATTGATGCAAGTACCAAGGAGACACCCAGTGATACTGTCCCGCCACATGACCCTCAGCAGCCACAGGTGTGCACAAAGATGGACATGATAGATTCAACAGAACCACCGAAGCAAGCACGTGCAGAACATGAATGTGCCAGCACAAAGGCAAAGTCACAGACTGTTCAGCAGCAACAGCAGCCTAACGTTGAGGGGAGTGGGGAGACCGGCATGAACGATTCAACCACCAAGGACGCGTCGGTACCCGGGCACACTGCAGAGCCTCACAGTGTGCGAATGATGGGTGAATCTGTTGCCATGCAGACAGCCAGTGAAGTCACTGAAATTACCAATGCACAGCAATCTCAGCAGAACCAGGAACAACACCAGGGACATGCAGCTTCAGCACCAGAACCACCTAAACCTGAACAAGAACTTGAACAGGTACCGGAGCCTCCAAAAGCGACACTACTGGAGGACGGGGAACTCCCACACACAGACTACAAGACAGAACCAGCAAAGACTTTGGAGCAGCGGCTACAGCCAAATCAGAACATTCCAGAGGACATGGAGGTGACTAGAACACCCAAGCAGCCCGAAGAGCATCCATCTGTGCCAATGAAGGTTGATAATGATGACATGGACACAGCGAGTGGAGTCATTCAAGAGCATGACCAAGCACAGCACCAACAGAGCGACACACACATGGACACCACGTCGATTGCAGAGCATGAATCTCGTTCAATGGAGATTGAACATGTCAATGGTGCCAGTGCCAGCATTTCCAAGCCACAGCATGAGCAGTCAAATGCAGCACTCACTTCACCAGTTGACCCTGCCACTGCCAAGAGTGGTACCGATCCACCAGGTGGGAATCACACTGCCACAGCAGTGGTCATGGCATCACCACCGTCTTCACCATTACCACTACAATCGCCATCCAGAAAACATGACAAGCACAAGCACAAGAAAGATAAAAAGGAGAAGAAATCAAAGAAAGATGACGATGAGAAGAAGAAACACAAGAAAGACAAGCATCGGAAGAACAACCATGATAATGAATCAGATGCGAATGATCAGGCGAGCAGCCACCAACACAAGAAAATGAAGTTGGATGGCAAAAGTACTCCAACCCAGAAGCCAGCAGCAAAGGCAGCACCAAAGGCAAAGACCTTGGCTGTCATGAAGGCATTGGCCAAAGCCAAGACATATGCAAAGGCCAAGGCTTCACCTAAGACGAAAGCCAAGGCAAAGTCAAGGTCCAAGAAGGGAGCTGTGGAAGAGGACTCTTGGTTTTCATACCAGCAACACAATGACTGAATGAAAATGAGTGGACATGTGGACATGTGTGT